TTTTTACCTTTTTTGGCGGTTGAAGGTAGCTCCGGTGCAGCGGCGAGTGGCGGTCGACTCCCTTCCCAATGACTGGTTCTTTTTCTCCAGCGGGGGGAGTTGGCGGCTAGGGTTAGGGTTTGATGTGAAGTGAGGTATTTATATCCGTCTCCTTTTAATCTAAGCTGCCCATCGCGTTTAATCTGAACCATCCGATCGCATTTAAATAAAAAAATGAATCTAAACTGTTCATCGTGATTTGATCTAAACCGTACAATCACGTTTAAAGAGGGAACAGATCCAAACCGTCCACACGCGCGGGAACAAATCCGGACCGTCTGATCGCAGGGATGCGGATTGCCAGCGTGGCCTCCCCCGTGACACCACATCAGCGTGTCTTACCATGCGGTGCACTTCGGTTCGTCGGGACTGCTGACTGGGTAGTCCTACGTAGCATATTTTTCTTAAATTGCATTTTGATCCACAATTTTCGATTTTTCTTTCAAAAATATCTCCAGAATCCAAATTTTCACTACTTTTTTTCAAGATTGTTTTCAATTTTATCATCCACCTATTTTTCTTAATTCTTACATTAAATAAAAATTCATAAATTTAAAAATTATATTTTATACATTAATTTTAAATATTTTAAAATTAACTTGTGGATATTACAATAATTAAGTTTTGATATGACTTTTTCATAGATATTATATTTTGTTTCAAATTAAAAATTTTTCCATGTGTTTTTTTTTTTATTTATAAAATCTGTTTATAATTAGTATATAAAAGAAAATAATGCAAATATTTTGTATTTTAATTAATTAATTTTATATTTTACTCTAAAAAATCAATAAGTTAATTTCATTTTTTTTATGCTTTCTAATCATTTCTTACTTTTTTTTTATTTGATAGATTTAGGAATTGGACTTGTAAACATGTGTATATATAGAAACTTAACCTTTCGATGCAAAGTTTCTAAATAAAATAAAAATTTAAAAAATTAATTCTAAAACAAAAAATATATTTTTATATCCAATGAAAACAGAACTCAAAAGTTATTTGTACAATAAAAACTAATATTAAATATTATAATAAAATAAGTACAAAAACAAATATGGAAATTTATCATTAGACAATGTATTAGTACTCCATCAATTAATTCCACAAAAATATGGAGCTCCAGCAGATATTTTGAAATGTCAATATACACACCATATACATATATTTAAAAAAAATATAAAGAAAATAATATAATAATTACAACAGTGAAATGAAATTCTATTATTATTATTATTTAAACCATTAAATAATAATAAAAATTAACTCCAAGATACAAGGATGTAAACATCTTATTTAAAAGAATAATAAATTTAAATATGACTTTTTTTGGAGTACTACTAATTACTAGATTTTGACCATAATCTCTATATTTAATTATATTTTTATCACCAATTTAATTATTATTTATTTATATGTCAATTAATATAATAAAAAATACTAGATAATAATAACCAAATAATACTAATTAAATATATTCAAATAGTTAAAAATTACAAAATATCAATACACATCCAAATAATTTGAGGTATTAAAAAAATCACACATTGTGTATCTTTAAATTTAAAAATATTATGGGTATGTATTAAAAGTATTTACATTAAATTATTTTTGTAACATTAAATTTTTTGACGATATAACTTAATGTGACCAGGATTACACTAATTATATATACATATATAAAATATAAAATTTGTATAAAGTTAGTGAAATTAATTTAATTACATTGCAATTAATTGAGATTATAATATTATTAATTATGTACATAATATTTGTTATATTATATTTATATAATATAAATACTGTAAACTATATTTTTTTTTACCAAAAGATATATGTTGAACTCGATTAATTACCTTTTTAATTAATTTTTTCAGTTAAAAAATTGAAGAAAATTATTTATTGTTTTTTGTTATTTGAGGTTAATTCGGAGGAGATTATATTTGTTCACGTTTAAGGGACTTGTTATGGAAAGATTTTAAGATTGCGATGGAACGGCAATACGTGTGAGCCGTATGGAATGGGAAGTCAACCCGCCCCGATATGGAATTGGAAGCACGACTAGTCAACCCATTTGACCAAAATCAACGGCTATACAAGCGGTAGAACATGATACACGCGCGAACCACCTAATCATTTATCCTTTATCTGTAATAACAATTCTCACCCCATAAATGGATATTGTCTCCTCTTTCTCTCTCTCTTCTTTCTTCTCCCATCTGCGAAAGCCGAGGGAGAGACTTTCTTGGGTCATGCAATTCGGATCCCCTGGATCCGACTCCCAGTCTCGATTCCTTCATAAACATACCACCATATTTTTTCCGATCTAATTTTTGGAACCCAAGAAGGAAGATCCGATGACGCGTCGTTGCTCTCATTGTAGTCATAATGGGCACAACTCTCGGACCTGCCCCAACCGCGGGGTCAAGCTCTTCGGGGTCCGATTGACTGACGGGTCGATCCGGAAGAGCGCCAGTATGGGAAATCTCAGCCACTACGCCGGGTCGGCTTCTGGCACCCATAATGGAAATGGGTCGAACAACCCTGGCTCGCCTGGTGAGGGTCCGGATCACGGCGACGGCTACGCCTCCGAGGATTTTGTTCCCGGCTCTTCGTCGAGTCGCGAGCGAAAGAAAGGTTTCAATTTTATTGTTTTTCCTCTAGGGGTTAATTTTGTTCGCTGATTTTGGATTTTGTCATTTGGTATAAGTTTTTGTTGTTCGATTAAATTTTTCCGAGTAAACTTTTTTTTTGGTGGCTGTTGCGTTGAAGTTTGATTTGAATCATTAGTTTTAGAAGATGCTACAGGCTATTCTTGTTGATAATGGGGATAGTGATGATGATGGTTGAATTCTGGTGTGTTTATAGATTGTTGGATGAGAGCAGTCTGTGTTTAAAGTTTGCTACTTTAGTCTAAATTTAACCTTTTGATTTACTGTGATTTCTTCTTTAGTTGAAGAAAGTTTGGATGGGAATAAGATATGTTTGTTGTAGCTAGGATTATGTAAATTTGGTACCTAAAGCAGAGAAAGGTTTCAAAATATGGGAATTGAAGCCCAAAATCAAATGGAGCCAATAAAATTTATAAGAGCTATGGGAGGAATGAAGATGTTGGATTCAAGAGAAGGGAACTTTAGTTAGAATAATTATGGGGAGTATATATCTTAAAGGTGATTGCATTTTGATCCATAGATCAGAATTGGTGCTTGAAGGCTGTCAACTACCTCTTATGTCAATTTATGAGTTCAAAGGAAATTCATCTTGCTACTGCTTGGCTGTAGACTCTTATGTTCCAAGAAAATGTTACTGGGGTTGAGTTACTTCCAAGAAGCTTAAGAACTGTAATAGATGTTTGAAATGTTAATATAACTGTGTTTGAGCTTAAAGGTGATTGCATTTTGATCCATAGATCAGAAATTGGTTCTTGAAGGCTGTCAACTATCTCTTGTGTCAATTTATGAGTTTGAAGAAAATTCATTTCGCTACTGCTTGGCCTTAGACTCTATGTTCCAAGAAAATGTCACTGGGGATTGGAGTTAGTTCCAAGAAGTTTAGGAACTATATTAGATGTTTGAAATGTTAATATAACTGCTTTTGATCTTGGGGATCCTACTAGATAGGGAAGGGTTATGAATATAGAAATAATATTTATGTTATATAGATTTTTCTTTTAAAAATATATTCATTGATTTAGCACAAAAACTTGTTTGCATTTCTTCTGTTTCTTAATGCTCCAAAGGATATAACATATGAATTCATTTACTTCTTCTGTTGAGGAGAACTTTCTCTTGTCAGTAAATTCTCAGAGTACCTAGATTGCTGTTATCCTTTGCGATTTTGATATGAAACAATGGTTTGTTTGGAACTGGTTCTGAGGAAGACTTCCAAGGATAGAAAAACCGTTGTTTTTTATTTCCTCTATACAAGAAGGGTACTTGCTTTAGTGTCAATCATGTCATATTTTTGAAAAGGAATTATTTGTCATAAATTGCTGGCAAACAATCTGTATGCCATATAATGTATGTTAAAAGCTCCGAACATTGCTACCAAGTTCTCATGAAGTGCCACTCCTAATAGGTACAGATGTTCCTAGTGCTGCATGTCCCTACTTTTTCTTCTGGATAGAAACTGCATAATCCCCACATGTTTACAGAGTGCTGTAAATGTTGTTTTGCAGGTGTTCCATGGACGGAAGAGGAGCACAGGATGTTTCTACTTGGGCTGCAGAAGCTCGGCAAAGGTGATTGGCGTGGAATCTCACGCAACTATGTTATATCAAGGACACCCACCCAAGTGGCCAGCCATGCTCAGAAATATTTCATTCGGCAAACCAACATGTCTAGGAGAAAAAGACGTTCAAGCTTGTTTGATATTGTAGCTGACGAAGTTAGTACTCTTCTCTCTGTATGCTATAATCTGCATATGATTATTTTTAGTTGTATCTAACGAAGGATAAGTCACATATTAAGGTTTGCTTTTTAATTTTCTGCATATGGAGTGGAACTGATAGTCTTTGGAAAACCTTTGCAGCCAGTTGACAATACAGTGGTCTCACATGACTTAACTCCCAACATTGCCCCAGTGGAAACACAGAGCAGCAATCCATTACCTCCTCCTCCTGCCTTGGATGAAGAGTGTGAATCAATGGATTCTACAAATTCCAATGATGGAGAACCTGTTCCTCCAAAGCAAGATAACTCACAATCCTGTTACCCAGTAATATATCCTGCTTATTTCTCACCATACTTTCCATTTTCTTTTCCATTTTGGCCTGGATATAATACGGAGCCAGCAAAGAAAGAAACACATGAAGTCTTGAGGCCAACTGCAGTGCATTCAAAGAGCCCAATCAATGTTGATGAACTGGTTGGCATGTCAAAACTCAGCTTGGGAGATCAATTGGTCATGCTGG